ACATTTCAGACGATTTCAAAATAACATTTATAATAAATATGCGTGTATTATTCCAAATGTCATTCAGAAAAATTTTAATGCATAAATTTTTCACCTCCTCAACTCAAATATTTCTCGTTGATTTCTTTGTTTAAATAAATTGATGAATGTGGGATTTAGCGACCACTAAATACATGAAACTGTTGATTTACGCGAATGAAAGTTCATTCATCCAAAAAATTCGCATAGCCTCTCATGATTTTTTAAAGGAGTTTGTAATTCCTTTGGATTTTTTTAGTTTCATTGCGATTTCCATTCCTAAAATTCTGCTCTGTATAAAAATTGTAATCACAATCGACTCACCATACTACATTGACGTGAGCCATTTAGGAACGGACGGGTGAACATTTGAGACGATTTCAAAATAACATTTATAATAAATATGCGTGTATTATTCCAAATGTCATTCAGAAAAATTTTAATACATACATTTTTCACCTCCTCAACTCAAATATTTCTCGTTGATTTCTTTGTTTAAATAAATTGATGAATGTGGGATTTAGCGACCACTAAATACATGAAACTGTTGATTTACGCGAATGAAAGTTCATTCATCCAAAAAATTCGCATAGCCTCTCATGATTTTTTAAAGGAGTTTGTAATTCCTTTGGATTTTTTTAGTTTCATTGCGATTTCCATTCCTAAAATTCTGCTCTGTATAAAAATTGTAATCACAATCGACTCACCATACTACATTGACGTGAGCCATTTAGGAACGGACGGGTGAACATTTGAGACGATTTCAAAATAACATTTATAATAAATATGCGTGTATTATTCCAAATGTCATTCAGAAAAATTTTAATACATACATTTTTTACCTCCCAAACAAATAAACCTCCGTTTTTCAAATATTTCTCGTTGATTTCTTTGTTTAAATAAATTGATGAATATGGGATTTAGCGACCACTAAATACATGAAACTGTTGATTTACGCGAATGAAAGTTCATTCATCCAAAAAATTCGCATAGCCTCTCATGATTTTTTAAAGGAATTTGGAATTCCTTTGGATTTTTTTAGTTTCATTGCGATTTCCATTCCTAAAATTCTGCTCTGTATAAAAATTGTAATCACAACGGACTCACCGTACTACATTGACGTGAGCCATTTAGGAACATTTCGCTCATGTGGATCTGCACGGGAACGTAACCATCTCAATAGTGGCGACATGATTTGATCAGATGATGAGATTAGGATCCCTGTTCGCTCGTATTTCCACCCCGTATCTGGAGACGCGGCATCTTGTTCTCGAGTAATTACTTCCGTATCATTCTGTCATACCAGTTTGTTTGCGATGCTTCACTAATTTCACTTCCCTTTGGTAATTCGCGCTTTGATTATGGCTTAGTTCTGTGAGTGAATGCGAGTGATTTATTGACGTTTGGGGGGAAATTCTGAATGAGAGATAAAACGTTATTTTTTTTAATTAAAAAATTGAATTTTTCATATATCTTTAGCCATTTCTAGCTGAATTTTCCAAGGAAAAATCCTTGAAATGCAATTTTGTACTGGATATTACCAGTAAATACAACAATATTGTTCAGGAAATATTGAATATTCGTGTCATAACAGGGAATTTCCCCGGAATTCCATTGCTTAAAACAAAATAATTATTAAATTCTTTTAAAAGTGCATAACTTACAACTTCATCGTTGAAAAAAATTTAAATTTCAGATTCACGGAATATTTAATGGAATTTCAAATTTTTGGTCAGCAGTAAGAGGAGAATTTCTAAATTCAATCAATTGAATTTTCCAGAATTTTTCTGATGAATCCTAGCAATTCAAGTTTTTCTCTGAATTTCCAATTAAAAGCCAATTAAAAAATACATTTATCAGATTTTTTCTGAATTCTTTCAATTTCAGTACAAGAATTAAACTGAAATTGACAGTTCTCCTTCATTTTTCCCTAAAACATTGTCTTTTCAATTCCAAAAACCCTCGAAATTTCAGTGAAACTAACACGATAAAAACCCCCAGAAATTTCCCCAAAAAAATTGTACCATTTGCCCCCTCATTTGCCCCCTCCCCCGAAAAAAACTCAAAGCACTATTGGAAATTCATCGAGTCCGTTCTTCCCCGGCGTGAAAACCCCCAGAATTCCCATTATTTTCGAATAAAAATTCGATAATTGCTCACAGTACGGAAAACCACTCGCAGCGACCCTCGTCGGGGGAAAAAAAATCCAATGTTACCGACGAAAAAAAAATGCACTGAACGATGGGGTTATAATGAAGGATAATGACTCGATGAACGAGCGGTACAACCCATTGAAGCGTCAATTACTGGATACGTGTGTCTCTGACAATGTGGCCGAAAGCGCGTGACTAATTAGGAAACGTGCTCATATATTGCTCCGCCCCCTCGCTCTCGTCCCCATGCAATTTTCGAAATATGGGGGGGGGGTGGGAGGAGAGGACGACGAGGAAGAGGAACAGGAGGTAGTTGAATTTGTAATTTATCGGCGGTCCATGTACCGGAGGATGAAACGGAGAGAAAAGGTGGAGGGTTTAGGGCGGGGGAGGGGAATCCCCGATAGTCGTCACGTATTTGTGTTTACCCAGGTGCAGTCCGGCGTATCTTTGTGGACGCAGGCAACGTCAGCTAGGTACCACACACACGAAACCTCACTGGTGTACCACTTTGGCTGGAGAACCACCCGGGCGGTGAGGGCGGGAGGGCGGGGGGGGTGATCCTATTGGATACCAGATCGTGGCATCAGCTTATCTGCTGGTGACGTAGGCCCTACCACCTCTATCTATCATTCACCGTGTATATCCCCTGCACGCATCACGTCGATACAATTAAACCCGTTGTGTTTGCATCATTGGGAATCAGGGGGGGTTTTATGATTTAATCGGAATTCATTCGCACTGGATCAATGTCTGGGAGATAGGGGAGTGAATGGATATTTGTTCATCGAGGTTTTTATTGGGGGTTTTGGTGATTACATCGTTAGGGGGAGGGGTTGGAATTTATTTCAAGGCTTGCGAGGGCGGATTTTGGAGGAAATGGTTCAGGGAATCAGACATACGCAGAATTTTATCAATTTTTAATGAAGTTAAAGTGTAATTGGCAATTGAATCTCCAGATTTCGAGTTGTTTTGTCAATTAAAAAATAAAAACGATAGTTTAGTTTGGATGCCTTTTAAGAAATTTAGAAATATTTGCCCAATAGTTGATTTATAATGACATATTTTCGATTATTTAATTCATAGAAAATTGAAAATTTTAATTAACAATTATTTTATTAATTTCCAATTTCAACCCAAATATTACTAAAACTAATGATTGATGCCGACCTCTGCACGGAATTATTTTTGTTAGTTTTGGAATTTTTAATTTATGATGATTGAATTTTTTGCGGATTTTGTTATTCAAATTTTGGTGAATGTTTAGAGTTAATTCTGCAGGGAGACGATTTGTGGTATTGGAGTCACAATTTTTAAGTTTATGTGGATAAATAAGACGTGACTTTATGCTCTAGCACGGAAAAAGCAATTTTCTTTCGTCGGCGCTATCAATATTCCGCTCTGTCCCCGACATTCCATATTTCATAAATAATTTTGCATGAATATTCAGTGCTTCATGAAAAATATAGGTCTGTCTGTTGAGAGGTTCTAGTAAGAGCCTGAAAGTTCGGAGATGGGCTTGAATTTAAAAATTTTTTTATTGGAAAATTCAGGTAGTAATTTTAAATGAGTAGTTCAGACAATAATCTCATGGCTTTCTACAATTTTCTACCTTTTCCCCAGTCACGCAAAATTGAAATCGAAAATATCATGGAATTTTTAGGAAATCTATCCATTTTTCAGCACCAAAAATTATCTCAACTAAATTCGAGGAAACTTCGTCATTCGGAAATCTTGAATTTTTGAATAAAACAGACAGCTTTCACAAGTTGATAATAAAATCGATGACAGCTCTAGATTTTATTTCAATCATTCCGTAGAAATGAGAAAAAGTTAGGTCAATGTATTCTTCAATTTCAAATTAATTGAAAATTCCTAAATGTCATTTTCACCAATATTTGCACCGCAAATACATGTTTTGCTAATCACTATTAACGTGTCAATATTTTTCACTATAATAAATGAATATTGGGAAATTGCCATTTTTTTTAATAATAAAAAAAAATTATTTATTTAATCAGAAATTACACTTGAATATTTTAATCATTCAATCAATAATGCAAATGAATTTCGCTCCATTATTGATCGAAATAAAAAACACTTCATTTTTTATTTCCGTTTCTCATTAGAATCGCAATGAAAAATGCATTTGTGATAAAATCATGATTCATTTTTCTTCATTAACCATTGATTCTCTAATGAAATACTAATAATGCAAATTATTTACCTGCCGATCTGCGCTGGAAACTCTTTGAATCCCCCCTAAAACTTAAAACTTCCTGAGGTTTTCAGTCATCCGAACTGCCCCACAACTTTCTCCTCCTAAAACAGCCCCCCCCCCC